ATATGGATCCTTTTTGGTGCATTTCATAATTTGAATCAGGAACTGTGAATCAAATTCGAGTAAAAGATGAAAATCAGCTGTCAATATTTTCCCTATAAAAACATACAACGCATTGAAGACATTATTAGTGCTACTGTTTCCCTACTACTGATTAAAACCAACGTTATTATGGAGCGGCGACGTCATTTAAGCAGGGAAGAAATGCTCAGAGCCGTGGGAATGATAGAAGCTGGTTCCCGGCAACGTACTGTGGCTTTAGCTCTGAATACAAGTCAGAGTGTTATCAGTCGACTTTGGACACGATACCGAAGCACTGGTACCGTGGCTGAGCGCCATGGAGGACGGTATCGCTACACCACACGGAGACAAGACCGATACATTCAAATCTTAACTCGAAGAGCTCCAACAATAACCGCCATGATGTTAGCCGTGAGGCTTCATCACTCTTCAGGGAACTTAATTAGCGACCAAACAGTCAGAAACCGCTTGCATGAAGTGAACCTTCATTCCCGAAGACCGCTACGGGTACCACCTATAGCAATGCACAATCGTAGGATTCGATATCAATGGGCTCTTGAACACAGAAATTGGGCAGAAGAACAATGGCGTTTCGTGTGCTTTTCTGATGAGTCTCGTTTTGGTATGAGACCGGATACAAGACGTATACGACACTGGAGAACCCCTGGACGCCAACAGCGATTAAAATCCTGCCAGGAAGTCCATCCTTATAGTGGTGGAACCATCATGGTATGGGCGGGTATTTGGATCGGCGGAAGAACTGAGTTGATTTGGATCAGAGGCAACCTCAACGCTCAAATTTATGCTGAGACGATTGTATCAGACGTCATCATTCCTCTACAAGTGCAAATCGGTCCCTTATTTCAGTTAATGCATGATAATGCACGACCGCACACCGCAAGAGTTGTAAGACAGACTCTCGCCGCAGCTAACATCAATGTCCTGCTCTGGCCTGCTCAGTCGCCAGACTTGAACCCGATTGAGCATGCATGGGATATGCTACAGAGAAGAGCTCTGCCGAATATGGAGGGTATCCAGTCGCAAGAAGACCTTTTTTTGTTGTTGCAACGAACATGGGCGGCCATTCCACAGCGTGATTTGGATGAACTCATTTTGAGTATGCCAAACCGATGTTCTTGTGTTGTTAGTGTTCGCGGTAGAAATACGGATTATTAATTGTTTAAGTTACCCAATAAAATTTTAGAGAAAACTGTTATTTCAGTCTTTTTTTCGAACTTTTGTGTTAGTGGTTCAAATGTCAAAAATCCCTTTATTAGGAAAATGGCAAATTTCTTTATTAATGCAAAGGTGACTTGGTTTATCGTTACTGTGACAAACGAAAACACTTTATTTGATGAATCCTTAAAGAAAATTTTAATTAATATCAATCAGGAGAAAAGTTATTGCAAAAATATATGTTGATCCCTAGACACTTTTGATGTGTGTATAAAGTGATAAGAGCAAATTATCATTTTGCCTTTGTTATATTTTAAAACAGCAAAATCCGTAAAGCTTTAACGCCGTTTGAAAAACGCGGAATCTTACAAATTGCCTGCAACATCGATATCAAAGGGCCTATGCACTGGCCAGCCAATTAATCGTCTCCAATTCAATTCAAACGATCGTTTCCTGCTTGCCCTACATTCTATATACACACCCAAAGTACAAATGCATCATTCCATGTGATTATCTTCATCTTAAGCTTAATGTTCCATTGATTCGATCATTCATACTTCCATACTTATGTTATACTAGCTGTGCCCGCGACTTCGATCGCGTGGACGTCGAAAAATAACAACATTTCGTACGTAGGTGACATGATTTTTCTGATGAAGGTAAGCGCTCTTCTTGCATTTTTTAAGCTAATACCGTCTTCTATGTAAGCGATATTAATTGAGAACCACTGGCGTCGGGCGATGGGGGGAACGGGGTACCGGTAGTTCACATTATTGTGACGACAATGAAGATTGCGGAAAAAATATTCCAAACAAAACCTCCATGTATATTTCCTTGCCCTTACTTTTTACTTTTCTTCACATTGTTAATTGTTATAAAATGAACGAGGTGATGCATTATTATAATTGTTGAATCTATTAGCGTAATTAATAGAATAAATTGATTGTCTCCCCTCCAGTCCGGGTGACAGGTACCTTTTTTAGTCTTGGCTACTGGTGTCACGTGTTGTAACTCTACACTCGGGTGTCTAACGGAAACAGATAATGCCCCGTACCAATTCCTTCCGGTTTGGATGAACCGATGCCTGGGGCTTCAGAAAATGTCACACGATCAATTCGATTATGCATACTTATCCTACTTTCGTATTTAAGTTGTAAATGCGACAGACATTATGTCTGTTGAATGTATAGTGGTATAGGAATAAAAGATAATTTTGAAGTAGTACACATAATTTTTGGCGCAAAAAACCTTTTACGAGGTGCAAAGTGGATGAGACTCGTTTTGTTTATTTTTTGTGTTTAAATCTACCAGCTTCATCATGCATGATAATCAGCTTATTAATATCCCCATTGCTGGGGCACAGAACCTCTCGGCCAATCACGGCCAACGCACTGATACACGATGTTTGGTTCAAACAAAATGTTTCTCCAGTTTGAACAGAGTAGAAATAACCACAGAACACAGAAAGAGGTTATAGAGGGCCCTTGAGTGCTTGGCAGGCGCGCCACAGTTAGCTAGCGGAGATGAGTCTGCTCTTGCTTCATTGGGTACTATTAATCGTTGTACTAAACTTATAATCGTTAATTTTTTTTTGCCTTAAAAGTAGGACACGGCATTCCTAAACTTTGTTAAACCAGTTTTTTATATAGTCATAATTTTTATATTATTTACATTATAATGGAAAGTGACTTTATGAGTTACCTCATATTGAAGTCATTTTTCAATTTGACGACTCTGTATATAATACAGGGAGAAAAAAACAGCCCTTGCTGAGTTTCTTGCCGGTTCTTCTCAGTACAAGGTCTCCCGCCGTAGATTTGCGAACCGATGGCATAGCTTTTCGACATTCACAAGTGCTTGTAACAGCCTAGACTGAATAAACGATATTGAATTTATTATGTGTCAACAAATGCTCATAACTTGACAAAAACTTGGTTCTGATTACGTAGTTGCTCTCGGGTGTGAGCGCTGATTGGTTCGATTGTTTGACGTCGCGTCGTTTGAGTGGCTATTATCTATTAGGTGGATGTGTAGTGGGGGTGAGCCGGCGACATCGGTTCCCGTACAAACGGTCTATTTTCACCCTTCTAACCACTTTCTGCGTTCTGTGCAAATAACGATAATAGTACCACCGTGACTTGAGCGTGAACACGCAAAAAACATCTTCTTCTGTTGTGGAATTTAGTGCTGTTAGAATAAGAGATAAAATAGAAGAATTTTCGAATTTATATGTAATATTAGAGTGGGTTACAGCTCTAGCCTTTATTCCCTTGGTTCCTTACAGAAACCTTCACCTCATTTACCAGCGAAAATGTAGAATAAAGCAACAAGTAACTCAAGGAAACATTAAAATTTTAATTAGGTCTCAGAGCGCGGCATAAGGGAACCAAAAATCTTCCACTCTGTAGGTATAATATGTGTTATAACACCCTGTATTGTCACACCTGCAACCAAAGTAATAGTAAAATGATCCCTTGAGCACGTATCATTTTGCAACACCCTCTTGATGGTTCGATGGGGTGGATAATTTATAGCTTTCCAAGTCCCACGTAAGTAGTCTTAGGGCTTACTTATATTTCTTGACAGTTTCTTATAAATGTGTAAATAAATACAGGATATATTTGAATAGGTTCAAAAATTAACTTTTAAAATGTGTTTATAGCTGGTTTTTATTATTTTAACATTATTCTTCTTCCGTTCTGTACCTATAAGGGATCAGAAACGTGAAGAATAAAGGTCATAGCAGACATAATATCTACTCGGAAAGGGATCGTCACCGTATCAATTCGAGCCGTTCAAGTTCAGTATTATTTGTATGAAACTTCTTACTGCAACGCACACTAGTCGGAATCGTAACGTAATCGCCTCGCCTCGGATTAGCTCGAGTCCCGAGGAGAGGTGGTCTTTTTTCGAGTTGATGATTATGTCTGCTATGACCATAATGAAAACACCCTATGATCTCATTAAATGTTTTATTGAATTATAGGTGTGCGTGAAAACAAAAGAAATAAGATTTTAAAAATGCATAGATTCTTAAAGAAATAAGGTCAAGGCACCGAAAAAAAAATTAAGGCATCGAAGTATATTCTTTGCTGTTTATTATATCACCTTTGATGTTCTGCGGTTAAGTTTTATTTTGTCAAGTATAGTTTTGATAAATATATTACGAAAATATAACAAAATCTCTAAAAATATTTAAAAGTAGTGGCTCGCTCTCGCTTCGCTTCGGTGTAGAGCTGAAGTGTAAACTACAGTTTTTGTTCTCAGGCTTGTATTACTATTATACAATGACATTCATCTATGATTCTTCTTATACCTGCATGCAAAATCTCAGCCCGATCGGTTTAAAATTGACAAAGTTTCATACAAACTTTCATTCCCTATTTTATCCCCTTGGGGGTAGAATTGATCCAAACCCTTTCTTAGCGGATGCCTACGTCATAACATCTACCTGCATGCCAAATTTCAGTCCCATCCGTCCAGTGGTTTGGGCTGTTCGTTGATAGATCACTATGTCAGTCAGTCAGTCACCTTTGAGTTTTATAAATATAGATATCTCAAAGTGAAAAACTAGAAACTTTACTAGACTTTGCCTGATCTGCATTGTACTTGATATAGGTTCTCAATTCGCCAGTATATTTTTTGTAGAATATAAATATTAAAAATTATATATTTATTAATTCATTTTACTATTTTCTTGCTTTAGTGAATTAGTTATGTAAGTCTTTGTTACCTATTCAATAACATTGTAGTGATATTACTTAAGTTAAATTTGATTAAAAGCTAACTTGGTTGCTATGTCCAACCAGGATGGAAACTCTCCCAGCGGCAGTTCGAGGTCTAGCACCGACGAAGTGACACTGCCAATGCCACAAAATAAGAACTACGGCGCAATAGGGGGCGTGGAGAAGGTGACATACACCTGGGCGGACATCAACGCCTTCACCACCGAGGCCAGGAACAGGAGGCGCTTCTGGACCTTCTGGCGGGCCTCCAATGACCGCATGTTCCGGCAGAGGAAGCAACTACTGAGAAACGGTATGTGAAGTCTTTTGACATACAACGGTCTTTATCCAGAACAAGAACTACTGCGCCATAGGGGGCTTGGGGAAGGTAACCTACCTAACCGACCTGGGTGAACATCAATGCCCTCACCACCGAGGTCAGGAAGAGGAAGCGCTTTTTTACCTTCTGGCGGGCTTTCAACGATTCCATGTTCCGTCAGAGGAAGCAACTATTGAGAAACGGTATGAAAAATCTTATGACATACAACAGTCTTTTTCCAAAACAAGAACTACGGTACCATAGGGGGCGTAAAGAAGGTGACATACACCTGGACTGACATCAATGTCAATCGCTTTCCCATATGCACATAACTTATCTAGGGAACAGAACAAGCGCATCTTTAATTTAAATTTAAGTATTTATAATTTTTTTTTTTTTTTTTTTGAAAAACCTGGAAATATTTATGATAATAAGTAGTATAGAGAAAATTCATTATAACAACTTAAATAATATATGTACAGAAATAAATAATATTTAAATACAAATTTAAATTTTATTTTAATTTTTTTATAATTTAATTAATAGTCATTTTAAGTTGACTACAGATACTATGTATCTCGCAAAGAGATTTAGGACCCAGATAGCTAATTTGTTAGCTTTTAATATACAAAATACGGTTATACATGGTATAACTAACCCTATTCAACAAAATAGTGTTAGTATTTCTAGTAAAAGAAATATTAACTCTATTAACAATTTAACCAGCCCAGTTTTAAACTGAGCTTAAAGACAACAGCCAAACCTAATAAAAGCATTATTAATATTATTCATCAAAATATATAAGGTTTGGCTGGCAAAGACCTAGAATTAGAATTGTATTCGAAAAGTGAGGACATACACATTATATGTTTAACGGAACACTGGCTCAAGCTTTGTGAAATGTCTTATCACATAAACAATTTTCAGTTGTTGAGTGCTTATGTTCGAAAGACAGCCATACACGGCGGCTCATTGATTTTTGTCAACAAAAATATTAGATGTAAGGATAGAAAGGATATAGCTGGCCTTTCAATTGAACGTAGCATTGAGCTATCTTGTGTGGAACTAAATAAGATGATAATAGTATGCGTATACCGACCCCCTGTAGGTAACTTTAACATTTTTGAATCTGTAATGGAGGATGTACTGAAAAAGTTAAAGTCAAAAAATAAGTTTTTGGTTGTTTGCGGTGACTTTAATATTAATATTCTTGAACAAAATTCAATGTCAGTACGTATAATATCACTATTTAAATGTTTTAATTTGATCCATCAATTTTTTGAGCCAACTAGGGTGACATCACATTCGGCAACTTGTTTGGATAATGTATTTACAGATAGTACTCCTGATAGTAAGTCTATTTTTAATAGTATTACATCTGACCATTATGGCTTAAAAATACAATATAAAATAGATGTAAAAAATGAAACCAAAGTAATTGAATTGAGACCAGTAACAGAAAACAGGTTAGAAAATTTTCAAAAAAACATTGATGATAGGATTTCTCATATCCCATGGACACATGATGATCCTGATATTCTTTTTGGGGATCTTTTTAATCTAATAAGGAATGAATTCGATAAGGCTTTTCCCTTAAAAACTTCGAAACTTACTCAGAAGTTACAGTTCTGTAATTGGGCTACGACTGGTATCTATAAAAGTAGAAACAAACTTTATGAATTGTATCATCTGAGAAAATATAATCATTCACAAAGTTTTATTGATTACGTTAAATGTTATTCTAAAACCTTCAAAAAGGTATGTGCAACAGCCAAATCTAATTTTATTAAAAATAAAATATGTAAATCGAATAATAAAATCAAAACAACGTGGAATGTTATAAATCGTGAAACAGGCAAAGAAAGGTCACGTGACGATATTATTGAAATTAAGTCCAATAATATTCTAATAAAATCTAAGGAACATATCGCTAATATTTTTGATGATTATTTCGTTAATGTTCCTTTGGTGGCTACATCTAATTTGAGCTCTTCAACGGTGGCTGCCAAGACATTGCTCGAGAAATATGTACCTAAGTGTGATAACGTGTTTCAGTTTAGACATATTAGTTTTATTGATGTTATTAAGTGTTTTAAATCTCTTAAACTACTATATGGGGTATTTCTACTAAAGTTATTAAAGGTATAATACCCGTTATTGCCCCTTATCTAGTTGATATATTTAATAACTGTATTGATCAAGGCGTATTTCCGGATTTGATGAAATACAGTAAAGTTATACCTCTTTTTAAATCAGGAAATAGAAGTGAACCTGGAAATTATAGGCCTATATCAATATTACCGGTTCTAAGTAAAATATTTGAGAAAATTATTCTGGAACAATTAATGCCTCATTTCAACCTAATTAAACTTTTGCATAGGAAACAATTTGGTTTTACCAGAGGTAGATCTACTACTGACGCGGGTGTTGCACTTGTAAGGAGTATATTGGAGGCTTGGGAGAGGTCGCAGAATGTTCTTGGAGTGTTCTGTGACTTATCCAAAGTTTTTGATTGCGTTGATCATCACACGCTGTTATTGAAATTAAGTCATTATGGAGTCAAAGGTACTGCATATAAATTAATACAGTCGTATCTCAGTTCCAGAATTCAAACTGTAGAGGTAAATGGTGTTAGATCATCTGGATCTCATGTGGAAATGGGCGTTCCCCAGGGTTCAATTTTGGGTCCCTTTCTGTTTCTAGTATATATAAATGATTTGCCATTTTTTGTAGAGAATTTGTGTGAGATAGTATTATTTGCTGATGACACATCTTTATTATTTAACGTTGACAGACGCAAGAACAACTATGACGATGTTAATAATGCTCTCTCGCAAGTTTTGCAATGGTTTAATGTTAATAATCTAAAGCTAAATGCTAATAAAACCAAGTGTATTAAATTTTCTTTACCTAATGTAAAAGTCGAACATATTGAAATTAAATTAAATAATAATAAATTAGATTTAGTAGACTCAACTACATTCTTGGGTATAACTATAGACTCAAAACTGCAATGGAATCATCACATTACGCTTTTGGCTGGTAAACTTAGTTCAGCAGCTTATGCCATAAGAAAGATAAGACAACTTACTGATACAGAAACTGCCAGGACTGTATATTTTAGTTACTTTCATAGTATCTTATCATACGGCATTATACTCTGGGGAACAGCAGCTGATATTGAAAGTATATTCATTCTACAAAAAAGAGCTGTGAGATCTATTTATCAATTGAGTAGCCGAACATCTCTTAGAGAAAAATTTAAAGAAATCGGCATTTTGACTGTTGCTTCTCAATTCATTTACAATTGTATACTCCTCGTTAAAAATAATATCAATTTGTATACCAAAAACAGTAACGTGCATAATTTTAACACAAGGAATAGAAATAAGCTTGCATTGCCACCCTACAGGTTACAGAAGGTTTACCGATCTTTTATGGGTCAAGGTATACATTTTTATAATAAAATTCCTGATGCCATTCTTGAGTTACCCATAAATGAGTTCAAGTGTCACATTAAAAATTGTTTACTTAAGAAAGGCTATTATACTATTAAAGAATACTTAAATGACAAAACTGCATGGCTGTAACTGTAAATTTGTTTTGTGTTTGTTTGCAGTGTCGTACAGATAAATTACCTGAATTCTAAGTAACTATTTTACTTGGTTTGAGTGGTTATGGGTAGTCATGCTCTCTTAAAAATCTCTTCGGCGGTGTCGTGTGAGGCGGGTCGTTGCGTTCCCTACAATATGGTTGAGCGAAACGATGGCTGGTTCATGCGTCATGCTCGTGAACGGGTGCTGCCAGCGGAGATGAGTCTGCTCTATACTACTTTATTATTATTATAATGATAATTAATTATTTAAGTTAAATTTTATTTGTAATTGTATTTATACTGTATGGCACGGCAATCAGAAACAAAAAATTTAGGTGAACATTTATTATTTCTGAGATAAAGATTTAATGGTGGTGTGGATTCTGGCATGGTTCTCTAGACCTGAACTTTGGTTTTGCAGCGGTGTATCCTTGTCATTCTCTATACAGAGTGAAGGGGGGGGGCACTGATGTTGGGTTTGGTTTTGGGTTTGGAGGGTAGTGACAGAGTCGACACTAGTGTTTAGGTAACCACATGCATGTGTCCTACAGTTGTGTTTATAGTTTTTTATAGTAATGTACACTGGTACTTAATTTATTTATTTTTTTCCCTATTTTGCTACCTAGTATCCATATGTGGTTATGGGTAGTCATACTCTCTTAAAAATCTCTTCGGCGGTGTCGTGTGAGGCGGGTCGTTACGTTCCCTAAAAAATGGTTGAGCGAAGCGATGGCTGGTTCATGCGTCATGCTCGTGAACGGGTGCTGCCAGCGGAGATGAGTCTGCTCTTGCTACATTGGGTACTATTAATCGTTGTATTTAACTTTAATGGTACATTTGTTTTTATGCCTAAACAGTGGGACACGGCATTCCTAAACTTTTTTTCATTTTTAAATCTGTTTTTTATATTTTTTATTTTATAGTCATATTTGTTTTATCATTTACATTTGTAATGGAAAGTGACTTCATGGGTTATCTCATATTGAACTCATTTTTCAAATTGACGATTGTATATAATACAGGGAGAAAAAAACAGCCCTTGCTGAGTTTCTTGCCGGTTCTTCTCAGTACAAGGTCTCCCGCCGTAGATTTGCGAACCGATGGCGTAGCTTTTCGACATTCACAAGTGCTTGTAACAGCCTAGACTGAATAAATGATATTGAATTTTGAATTTTTTGAATTTTTTGAATTTTAAATGCCTTCACCATCGAGACCAGGAACAGGAGGGGCTTCTGGACCTTCAGGCGAGCCTCCAATGATCGCATGTTTCGTCTGAGGAAGCAACTACTGAGAAACGGTATGGGAAGTCTTATGACATACAACGATCTTTATCCAAAACAAAAACAGCGGCGCCATCTTCCCTTCATCCTCTCTTTCTTCGCCGAAAACGCTCGCTATTTTGTTGTGCCGCTGTAAATGTTCAAAACTCTCAGTAAAGGGCAATATTCCCGGAAATTACTCAAATTTCTCGAGAACGTTAATCAATACCTTCCCTTATTTATTGCTTTATAAATCTACTTGTTCTAGTCAACGGCGCGGCTTACGCGGGCGAGCTGCTCGCCATCATGGGGTCATCCGGGGCGGGAAAGACCACCCTTCTGAACACGCTGACGTTCCGCACGCCCAGCGGGGTGGTGTCCAGCGGGACTCGGGCACTGAACGGCCAGCCAGCTACGCCCGAGGCTCTGACAGCACTGTCAGCGTATGTGCAGCAACAAGACTTATTTATAGGAACGCTTACTGTGAGAGAGCACCTAATATTCCAGGTGAGGATTCTTGAGTATCATGTTTTTATTTTCAAAACTTCTAGTTAACGGCCTGGCGTAACCAGGCAAACTTCTTGGCATCATGGGGTCATCCGGGCCGGATAAGACCACCCTCCTGAACACGCTGACGTTCCGTGCGCCCAGCGGGACCTGGGCGTTGAACGGACCTTTCTCCAATTTATAATCTGACTTTCGTAACTCTTAAATTGTGGTACTTAAGCAAATGCCTTTATCATTTTTGTTCGTTACTATCTCTTCAGCTACGCACTCATTTTTTTATGCTATAATAATTTTTAATGAACCAGTTCAATCAGTAGGACGATAGTCTGGACTATCGTTCTGTTTTAGTTAGTATTTTTCACCGCTTTTGAACGTTAGCTTTCGGAGATAAATTGTGTTAGTATAATTGGTTAGTGGTTGGAAAAGTTGGTCACTCCCCGGATTTAGTGATGACGCCATTTTTCAACTTAAATTCCCAACTGGGCCAAAAATAAAACAGAAATACCTACATGACTTGTGAAAATTTCACGTGTCTTGCTATCACTGTTCGTGAGATACACCTGGAGACAGACAGATGAACAGAAAGACAGATAGACAGTCAGTGAGACAGTGGAGGTCCCGTTTCACCCTTTGGGTACGGAATCCTAAAAAGTACTACCTATTTTGTCTGAATAAAAACATCCAGTGCCGTGATTTGTTATTTCTGATTTATAACACACTTGTACTGTAGCTACTTCCTTGGATCAGAGCAATGAATTTATTGTGTTATTATTGATGTTCATGTCAATTATTCCTGTATATTTTTTTTGTTTAGGCATTGGTCCGTATGGATCGACATATTCCATACGCGCAGCGCATGCGACGTGTCCAAGAAGTCATCTCTGAGGTATGTTGAATAATAGGTTAAGAAAAGTAACATAATGTGAGATAGATTAAACAATAAGTAAATTAATAATATTGCATACTTATTAATTCTTGCTTGTTATAAAACTGTATTGTATTGACATGCTTTTGCTAGTTGCGTATGTTGCTTGGATAGGCATTTCTGTAATAGCATGTCTGATAAATTTATTTATAAGGAATTACTATGGAAAATTTGACTGGAAAATATTTCCACCCGATCCAGATTTCAGACGGGATTCGAACCCACATCTTCCGCTTTTTTTTTTATAGTCCGGTAGGCAAATTATGTGTGGTGGTACAGTCCAAAAGAGAAGATAGCTGGTACAGCAGTTATGAAGTGCCACACCAACTATCCTCACCTTGCCGGCCTGCAAAAATGCCGTTTCGCGCCTCTCTTAAAGGACCCCAGATTGTAGGAAGGAGGGAACACGTACGCGGGCAAAGAATTCCACTTGCGAATGGTACGACAAAGATCTGGGTTATCCTTCAGTCTAAAAAGTACCAAGGTTTCCGTAGTATAATAATTGGTTAGTACCTCCAGTCGGATCGCAGAATATGCGGGATAGAATTCCGTCTGAAACATGAACCGAGCGGATTTTTCTAGAAAAGTTTTCTTTAGATTTAAACATCTTGCAATAAAATGCTTAAAAATAATAAACCTAGGTTACCAACCAACACTTCCATAACAACACCATAAAAACACCATAGTTTAACTTTATCTAAGAAATTCGATGATGGTGTTTTAGCCGTTTTGTGTTTTAGACGACAACCGGTAACATTCCCCAACTTCGCAATAGAATATTTCCAATGTTTATCATGAGTATCTTCATCATAATTACCAGTCCATCGTTCATTATTTTCCAAAAGTACTTTGAAAATTTGATTGAATTTTAGACTATCAGTGCGGAAAACTTAGTAGCTGAAGCATTTTGAATGATTTAACACATGATTTAATGAAGCATTCAATTAATGACTTCTCTGAGTACGGCTGCTACTTATGAAGGGAAAGCAGTTCAAGAATGTGCCACAGTTAATAGTAGTCAGTTTAGATGCGCAGGCCCAGGGCTTGCGGTTGCGTAAAACATGTCAACCTTGTTATTTAATGATTATTTAAACGACCAATCAATGTTTGTTTCTCTAAATAGTTTTTGTAATATAATATAATTACTACTATGCTAATGTGAAGTAGAGGAAAAATTTATGGTTAAAAAATGTACCTATGTATTTTTTCATGGTGTGTGATAGATTACCTATTTTTTACAAATCGTCCGAGCCTAAGAAAGTGTCGATGGTTCGAAACCCAGTTTGGTATCTGCAATATATAAGAATACTTAAATTAATGTACAAATTCAATGCCCAAATAAAAAATAGAATATAATGTACTTAAACAAAAAAAAAATATTTGAAAAAATTCCATGCGGGCCGGGCAGCACACGTGACGTGTCCCGACTGCTACCAAATAATTGATTGCCAAATAATATAAAAATATAACTATAATTGCTATTTCTTCTTTCAAATGTTTAATACTTGTAAAGGTATTCATTTGACATTGTGGGTGACCTACAATGCGAAAAGATGGCGCTGCCTTGCAGCTTAAGAAGGGCTAGAGAAAATTTGACACGGACGTCAGGGCCACGGTAGCATAATGGTCAGTGCATTCGCCCGGATAGCGAAGGGTGTGGGTCCCGTACGCTGCCTGGTCCGCGTGGAATTTATTTTCGTAACATTTTCTTTAGAGTTTAAAGGTGGAGCGTTTCATTTTTTACTTTCCTACTTGAAAGTTTTGAACGAAATAAGCTCTAAATAAGTTATTAAGATTTTCTTTTGAAGGCATTTTAACCAAACACGATAACAAAATATTGATGTATCTTATTTATACATTATAAATATAAAGTTCTCCCAAATTTGGTCTCTGGGGTGTCTGTCTTTACATATACCTGTTTGTCGAAAACTGTTAACAACAAAATGTTTAACTTTGGTGAATAGGGGTGATGACGGGGTACAGTAAACGAAATTCTATTTAGTCCGTCAGTTAGATGATCAAAAAATAATGGACACGTATTTTTTCTTTGGGCATTTAACCAAAAAATGACAAAGTTATAGCGCGTCAAAGTTTGGGAGTAGGGGCTCGTGACGTCACTTTTGAGTGAATTTTCACTTAAAAGTGTCGTGTCGTCATGCGACTTTTCAAATCAATATATCTCTGCAATATTTATATTATGTGAAAAAAGAATAATACTTGTCCAATACTTTTTAATACTCTACCTGATAAACGAAGAAAAAAAAATTGTCATCATCCCTATTGAGGTACCCATCTTGCAAAATTAAGAACTCTTTTTGAGGAACCAATTCTACCTATATATGTAGGTTTATTATTCTATGTTACGGCGTAAGTTAGTAAAAGTTTTCATTGTGTTGTTACTGATACACCCAATTTGAATTAATCCAGTTGGCGCTATCGAAGTGCCAGAACACGGTGATAGGGATCCCAGGTCGACTGAAGGGCATTTCAGGCGGGGAGATGAAGCGGCTATCCTTTGCCAGCGAAGTACTTACGGATCCACCGCTCATGTTCTGCGACGAACCTACCTCAGGCCTGGACTCTTTCATGGCACAGAATGTCATACAGGTACGTATCTAAGTGTAGTACTAACACTCAAAACTTTGCATCTACATTGGCCTGCAAAACGGTATCACATTTTGAATTTTTATTTTTATTTTCTATACTTTAGAAGTTAGAAATTAAATAGAAAATGTTTTATAGCAAAATTTATCAGTACCCTTAGCACGAACCATTGCCAAATTCGAATAGTTAGCGAGTGCGAAATGTCAATGTCAAATGTGTACTGATTTTTAGTTCTCGTTACATACTTTGTGGCGCTTCTGTTCAAGTTTCCATACAAAATTTGACATTGACATTTCGCACTCGCAAACTATTCGAATTCGATCATGGTTCGTGCTAGGGGTACAGATTTCTTTGAATCTTATTTCGAAAGTTTACCTCATGTACTTAAAAAGTTATTGCAATTTCTAAATTGTGATACTGGAGGCCCGTGTATCATTTTCTAAATAAACGATTCTTATAACTTTGAAAAGGAACCGAAATGACAAATGTAACAAGTAATTTGTAACCGGCATAACTATTTTTCTACTACACCACACACATCAGTTCTCATCATCATCACCATTAACCACGATAACGTTTTCATAATCGGTTTAATAGATAATAATTCAACTTGCGATTTTAAAAAATATATATATATCATACTTTATAGGTAACTCCTTAGATAAATGATAGCTCTCCCTTCGTCGACTGCAGGGAGACCAATCAATTATCTACGGGTGACTTCTTATTTTTCAATAATATACAAAAAATAGTCAACTTAGCGGAAGCTTCAGTGATGCTTTGGTATAGTTAACCGAATAAGCATTACCAAGTTCTAAATGTTGGTTTTCTCGATCTGTCCAGGTATTAAAAGGACTGGCACAGAAGGGCAAGACTGTGGTGTGCACTATTCACCAGCCGTCTTCCGAGCTCTACGCCATGTTTGATAAACTGCTAATTATGGCTGATGGCCGTGTAGCCTTCCTCGGCTCACCGGACCAGGCGACAGAGTTCTTCAGGGAGTAAGTACCTATTTTTTTAAAAAAATATGAATTTAAATCTTAATAGGTCGAACAGCTAATTATAGTCTACACATTTTTAAACTTCATTCTTATATAATACACCTCGACGATGCCACTTGGCTTTAGTTGGGTCTTAAATATTGTCCTGAATCAATCTAATATCAGGCTGCCTACAATAGTGTCCGAATATTCCCTGATCTGTACGGGAAAGCCCATGGAGGTTTCAATGTTATACTTTGGCTCTCAGACTAGCTTTTGTGTAGCTACGAATCCTTCTTAGAGCCTGCGCAGACAAGGGATTTTTGTGTGCGATATATTTATTTCGCCAAAATAGATCGCTTACAACTGCATCAAGTAACGCACACGAAGTAAGAAAAATCCCGCATACAAAATCTCCCAAGAACAACTGAGGACACTGAGTGAGCGTCAAGGACAAAAGTACGTAGGTCTTCCTAAAAAAAATAGAATTTATGTGACAAGGCGCAGCCACGCACACGGCTAACTTAGCCCGCGTTGCGTTTTCGATCTGATTTAAAAAGATGGACCCACTAGTCTCTTTTAAAGGTTTAAAGAGACTAGTAGCAGTAGTAGACTATTTTTTTTTCTTAAAATTCATGTCAATTACAACACGTATTCTGAGAATACTTACTTTCATAGCGAGCCCTTTCTAAATTTTATACTATCGGGGACAAATGGTCGCACATCGTGTGCGTTTAGTCCAGTACAAGTCCATGACGTAATTTTCTTCACGATTCCAGGACTTTTGTCCTCCGCGGACAAAATTCCTTCGTCTACGCAGGTCATTACTTGATTAACAAGCATGATTTGACGTTACCCAGTCTAGGAGCTGCGTGCCCCGCAAACTACAATCCGGCGGACCACTTCATCCAACTGCTGGCTGGCGTGCCGGGTCGCGAGGAAGCCACACGGCACACCATCGATACGGTCTGCACGGCCTTCGCCAAGTCGGACATCGGGTGTAGAATTGCCGCGGAAGCTGAGAACGCACTGTTTCACCAGGTAGGCGACGCGGCAAACCAAAGCAATACGGTCTGCACGGCCTTCGCTAAGTCGGACATTGGGTGTAGATTCCGCGGATGCTGAGAACGCACTGTTCCACCAGGTAGGCCACGCGGCACACCATCGATACGGTCTGCACGTCCTTCGCCAAGTCGGACATCGCGTATAGATTCAGCGGATGCTGAGAACGCAGTGGTCCACTAAGTAGGCCACGCGGCACACCATCGATACGGTGCACGGCATTCGCCAAGTCGGACATTGGGTGCAAGATCGCCGCGGAAGCTCAGAACCGACTGTAACGCCAGGTAAAACCTTTGATCAGTAACAATAATGATGGCTTAGCATTGTTCTTTAAGTCTTCAGACAAGGCGACGACCAGGACCTTTGCGATCAGCTTGATCCTTTGGCTTTGCGTAGGGATGTAGCTTCGCTCTGCATCTTCTATCGCATTTATCACGGAGAGTGTTCTGAAGTATTGTTCGGATTAATTCCAGCTGCTTCATTTCGCCATCGTACATCGCGACAAAAATTTCATCCCCATCATCTTCATGCGTGGCTATCCACAACCGTGCGCTTTTGTCGAAATTTTTTACCACGTACGACAAAACTGTGGAATATGTAGTCGCCAGCAGTGTTTCCGGACCGATACGACCCAAAAACCTTCAAAAAAAGAGCGTACTTCTTCCTTAAAGGCCGGCATCGCATTTGTGATACTCCTGGTGTTGCAAGTGTCCATGGGCGACGGTGACCACTTACCATCAGGTGAGCCGTCTGCTCGTATGCCCCCTATAACATAAAAAAAAGGCGGCCTTCCTACCAATTTGTGAGAGTAGACTTAGTCTTACTTATTTAGATATAGCTAACTAACGTCATTTTATAATGTAGTGTCCGTTTCTGAAAATACTAAATATCATCAGATCTACACAGAAAAGAAAAGGAGATAAGGATGACAATGCGCAAATGTGTTGGGTACTGTTACTATAAGGTAGATAATATTATTTTTTTATTTTTAATGTTGATTGGTTAATTAATATTGTATAAGCTTCATACTGCTAGATTTATAAATTGGAAGGAATGTTTACTATAAAATCATCCACTTGTCCCAGGTATGAGACAAGAGCCTAAGAACTTGTCTTTTGGTGAATTACCTAAAGCCTTTTCGTAGTACTTTCATTCTTTAAATAAAATATGAGGTAATGTAACGGCAAACATTAAACAATACTGTTTCTTTCAGCGAAAACTCCATGATGGCTGGACAGACATGGCATGGGCGGGAGCGGCGGCGCTTCGCTCGCATCGCTCGCCGTACAAAGCCTCGTGGTGCGCTCAATTCCGAGCAGTGCTCTGGCGTTCCTGGCTCTCCGTCACTAAGGAACCTATGCTCATCAAAGTGCGATTCCTACAGACAATAGTAAGTGGAATAATTAAGTACTATATGATGAGTTATATGGAGTATTGCGGCTGTGTGAAAGGCGTCTCTCTCAACTTAATCAAATTAAAAAAGTAGAAAGTGAAGCTATTTCGCGATGATTCTTTGCAATCCAGCAAAACCTAAGAGATGCATACCTGATTTGCAATGAGAATCAAATATAATTTATTTATTGAAACCATTGGCATTTAGACCTGATTGGATGCAATGACATTGGAATCATTTCGATACCTAATGCCGCAATTACATTTGGTCTTGTGCACGAAAGACAGTACTCGAATTCGGGCTATTCGATCGATATTTATACTGGAATACAGACTGGAAGACAGTGGTGTCAATTCTGGCGTGCATCTCTAAACTTAAAACTAAATTAAAGGTCAGTCTCACCTTTTCATTCTGTATAGAGAAGGACAAGGATGCACTGTTGTCAAATTTAAGTTTAGGTTTAGAGAACCATGCCAGAATCGACATCAGTGTCAGGTAAACAAAAGGAAATCTACCCGAATACGGACTTACTCGACTCCATTCATTTACAATTAGTCGTTTACCCAAATTCCATTGGCACTCTCCAACACAAAAAGATTTTTCAAATCGAACCAGTAGTTCCTGAGATTAGCGCATTCCACCTAACAAACAAAGAATCAAAAAACTCTTCAGCTTTATAATAAAGGCCCACATGCAGGAATTTTGCTAAATCTCATTCATCCCCTGAATACTGAAGCATTCATCCCATACAGTGATGTCAAATTGACATTGACATTTTTCTATGGATAACATCTAGTTTTAGTTGAATTAAGATTAAGCCAATTTATTGTAAGTAATTTAGATAGAGTCTGTGCGGAAAGGGAATGGGCGTGGCGAAAAACGGAACTAACATTAAGATTTTTATTTGGTAATAAACCCAGCAGTCTGTAGAACGCCAAAGTTTTGTATTGATACGGATTTGTTTGTTGTTGTGATTTCTTGCGGTTTTTTGTATTTAATCATATCTAAAAGGGGTAAAACCTTACAATTACGGTAGAAAAGCACTACAGCGCCCTCTAATCTAAATCCCATTCTCTTTCCACACAGACTCTAAAGTAAAAACTTCGTAATCAACCAATTTTTCTTCCTTGCAGATGGTGTCGATACTGATCGGCGTGATCTACTTCGGGCAGCACCTGGACCAAGACGGCGTGATGAACATCAACGGAGCCATCTTCATGTTCCTCACCAACATGACCTTCCAAAACATCTTCGCTGTCATCAACGTAATAAGCTTTAACTTTCTCTTATTTACTTATGTTCCTAGTTTTATTTACGGGGTTGCTAGAGCACCGCAGGTGGTTAAATTTATCTATTTGTGACAGATAAAAATACTCTTTAAGTGTAGAGCATTTTTATACAGGGTGTAAAAAACCTAAAACGAAGTCGAAGGCCACGCATTTTCCACATCATGACGATCATTTTTTTCTTCTAGACCATACCTGGGAAATTTATGGTTATGGTGATATTGAAGGTCAAAGTCAATTTTTTTTTCATCCCACCACCTCGGAAAGTGTAATTTTGCGCTTCGAAATCTGGCTGGAAAATTCTATTTTATTCGCTTGAGCGGCAAAGTAGATTTGAATTTAGAACATCACATATAATGAGTACTCAATATAATTGTAAATTCAAAACGTCATTAAACCTATTTAATGTAACCTCTATGGTGCCAAATTTATGATTAGAACTTTTTAAATTGTGAAAAAATTTAAATTTGGAACCTTCTTGGTTTCTTTGTTTTATTTGCGTGCTTCGCGCCATTCTAGTTTTTCACGTTTTATTGCTTAAATATTTTGTCATTATAAATTGTTTTCTTTTTCATTTTGTCATTTCCTCGCTGAGGTGGGATGAAAAGTTACGTATTGCACTCGAGTGGAAAGATTTTTCACCTTGTGCTCGTTTGTTTCCCTCGCTGACGCTCAGGATTCTAATTTAGAATCACTCGCTGCGCTCGTGATTCAACTTTAGAATCCTTCGCTTGCTCGGTCATCCAAATCGAGCACGCGGTTAAAAAGGAACTTTCCACTCTTGTATAATAAATAACTATTTATGTTTTATACATTAATATGTTCAAAACGTTACTCAGAAACTTTTTTATCGGCGCACTTACACACACGCACACACATACACACATGCACATTCTTTGCGTAGCGCCACAGTAGCGCTCCGCGCTATACATTGCGTACTGGAAGCAAATAGTATTTTTTTAACTTAAAAATACATCTAAAGAAAATATAACTAGAAAAAATTCCACGCGGACCAGGCAGCAGACGGGACTCGAACCCGCACCCTTCGCAATCCGGGCGAATGCACTGAGGGCCGCGGTAGCATAATTGGTCAGTGCATTCGCCCGGATTGCGAAGGGTGCGGGTTCGAGTCCCGTCTGCTGCCTGGTCCGCGTGGAATTTTTTCTAGTTATATTTTCTTTAGATTTAAACATCAAGCAGTTACATGCTTTAAAAATAATAAAAATTATAACTATAATTGCTATTTCTTCTTTCAAATGTTTAATACTTGTAAAAGTATTCATTTGACATTGTGGGTTTACCTATAATGCGAAGAGATGGCGCTGCCTTGCAGCTTAAGAATAGCTAGAAGGAATTTCGACGCGGTCCGTGAGGGCCGCGGTAGCATAATTGGTCAGTGCATTCGCCCGGATTGCGAAGGGTGCGGGTTCGAGTCCCGTCTGCTGCCTGGTCCGCGTGGAATTTTTTCTAGTTATATTTTCTTTAGATTTAAACATCAAGCAGTTACATGCTTTAAAAATAATAAAAATTATAACTATAATTGCTATTTCTTCTTTCAAATGTATAATACTTGTAAAAGTATTCATTTGACATTGTGGGTTTACCTATAATGCGAAGAGATGGCGCTGCCTTGCAGCTTAAGAATAGCTAGAAGGAATTTCGACGCGGTCCGTGAGGGCCGCGGTAGCATAATTGGTCAGTGCATTCGCCCGGATTGCGAAGGGTGCGGGTTCGAGTCCCGTCTGCTGCCTGGTCCGCGTGGAATTTTTTTTTTTTCTAGTTATATTTTCTTTAGATTTAAACATCAAGCAGTTACATGCTTTAAAAATAATAAAAATTATAATTAAAAATACATTTTTTTCCCACATATAATCTTTTGTAATATTACTTGTTTGGGTGTACAGAATGCGTAGTTTTAGTCTTTGTCATAGGTTTTTTTACACTCTGTATAAAAGATTGGTGTCGATTCTGCCATGATTCTCTAAACTTGTATCCTTGTCATACTCTAAACAGAATGAAAAGGAGAGACTGATTTTAAATTTAGTTTTAAGTTAAGAGGATCATTTCAGAATCGACACCAATGGTGTCGATTCTGACATGATTCTCTAAAGCTAAACTTAAATTTGACAACAGTGCATCTTTGTCATTCTCTATACAGAATGAAAGGGAAAGACTGATGTTAAATTTAGTTTTAAGTTTAGAGAATCATGCCAGAATCGACACAATTATCTTATTTAATTTAATTATTGATGTCGATTCTAGCGTGATTCTCTAAACTTAAAACTAAATTTAACATCAGTCTCTCCTTTTCATTCTGTATTGAGAATGACAAGGATGCACTGTTGTCAAAATTAAGTTTAGCTTTAGAGAATCATGTCAGAATCGACATCATTGAATTATAATATTGAACGGTTTACAAAATTACTCAACTTTAACTCACATCGCCTCTATAACAGCATCTTTCCGTGATGTTTTATTTATTTGTTGAATATTGAAACTATTCGTTCTTATTGTGAAAACCATGTTAGAGTCTGTGCGGAAAGAGAATGGGATTTAGATTGGAGGGCGCTGTAGTGATTTTCTACCGTATTTGTAAAGTTTTACCCCTTTTAGACATGATTAAATACAAAAAACCGCAAGAAATCACAACAACAAACAAATCCGTATCAATACAAAATTTTGAGGTTTTGCAGATTGCTGGTTTAGTTCCGTTTTTCGCCACGCCCATTCTCTTTCCGCACAGACTCTACTTAGAGGCTTGCACGAGTAATTAGAATGTATATTGAAGTCTTTATTGAAGGTTTGATTTCTAATCTAGCTAGGGGGCTAAATTTTTATCAAAAGTATCACTCAAGTAGGAAAATCCTGTTTCCATAGTTGTAGCCTAGCCTAGTATTTTTGAGCTTAATGATTCTGGGATCGATGTTGTCTATGATTTCTTTACCCAAGCGCTTTATTGGAATGAAAACGGATCAAGTGATATAATTCATTAATTTATTATTATTTTTATTGTCATCAGGTATTCTGCTCTGAGCTACCGATCTTCATACGCGAGCACCATTCGGGGATGTACCGTGCGGACGTATACTTCCTATCGAAGACGTTGGCGGAGGCGCCAGTATTCGCGACCATTCCTCTGGTGTTCACCACCATCGCTTACTACATGATCGGTCTGAACCCAGCGCCTGAGAGGTTCTTCATAGCGTCGGGGTTGGCCGCACTTATAACCAATGTTGCTACTTCGTTTGGTGAGTTTTTTAAATATATTTTTCATCAGATGCCTTTTTAAGTTTCTTCTGGAGAAGCACATTGCTCTCATTAATCACATAAGGGAGAACAGGGCCGTAAGTCACCATTGTGTGTGTGTGTGTACGCTGTTGATCGCGGAAGACCTTTATAGCGTCACCGGGTTTGGGGCCGGCGAGAATCAATAAGACCGTAGAGGGTCCTTAAGCCGAGAATCGGCTAGTGCATTTAATGGTATTCCAGGCGAATGGCATTACCCCGCGGGGGGAGTTTCCTCTCCGTCTAGCTAGACCCACCAGACCACTTAAACCTGAGAGGATCGGCTCAACTAGGGGGCGCCTCTGAGACTCAGACCTCGGATCTAGTAAGCTGTAGTCATAGGGGGGCGTAGTCACCATGAGGCCCAGTTGTAAGGTAAGTGTACTTCCTATCGAAGACGTTGGCGAAGGCGTCCGTATTTGATGTTAACCACACCAACATCGCTAACTACATGATCGGCCTGAACTCTGCGCCTGATAGGTTCTTCATAGCATTGAGGTGGGCCACGTTCATAACCAATGTTGCCATTTCGTTTGGTAAGTTTTCTTAAAAGTATCCCCATAGGGATACGGAACCCCGAAATATTAATACGCCTCCGCTTCTAAGTCTGTCACAGGGCTCTTGAACTTTCGAAAGGAAATAGGTAGACACCAACCCGAAAATTTTAGAAAATAAATTTCTGTTCTTCCTTCCTGTCATGGATTAAACATGGTTATTTATTAATATTAAAACCTTGATTATTTCCTTTTTTACCCGGCTGCGCAATGCAAGAGCGCGAAGCGCGACGCGCAGACAGGGTTATGTGTTTAACAGTCTATATATGTATGTTTGTTCCTTTGTGGCACACTAGAGACCAAACGCCTGGACCGATTTTGATGATTCATACATCAATCGATTCGTCTCAATCATGGGAGTGCTACTAAAGATATGATAGTAATCAAAATTCAATATGGGCAAAATTAGGCGCCATATTGTGACGAAGTAAAAAAAAAAAGTTGACAAAATATGTCGAGTGGGGTATCACTGTCTAGATAATCAAAAATCATATTTAGGTTCCTAACACCATTTTTCATTTTATATGATTGTTTAGGATCTACAACGCTTTAAAGTTGTATATTAACCACTTACGCTTTTAATTTCATTTCAATCTTACGTTTGTATGGATCTTTGTTACTCTTTCACCTAAAAATACTGAATGGATTTTAATGAAACTTAACAGTAATATAGCTCATATATGATAATTACATATATATAATAATTTATGTAGTTATTGAGTGAATTGGCCAATATATAGCAATAAGTGTCACATAAGACGGAAAAAAATGTCCCATCTGCGAGCCATTTTGGCCTGCACTGCAAAAACAATAAAAGTTACATGAATGTAATGTAGAGTGAAAATGTATCTCTTAAATAGTTCTAAAAAAAAGTCCGTGACACCATATATCTATTTTTAATGTGTAAGTCATTACCGCTAAAATAGTGAATCAAAACTAAAATATTATTTGATATCTATTTCCAAAATGCACATTTTGTATTAACAAATCATTTTTTAACAAAACAAATAATTTAATCGCTTTTGATATTTAAAGACGATAAACATTGCTTTGTACACTATGTCATTTCGACAAATATTTAAAAAGTTACAACGATGATAAAGTGATAGCGCGGTGTACTATGTAAAAGAAAAAAAATGGGGTATTCGCAGTATCTGATCCTATACGAAGTACTAACATTAAAACTGTGATACAGTTACTTCTTATTAAATGATGAAAAATATATTATCATAATAGGTATTTATGATTATTGAATTTTAATGAAAATCTCAGAATTTTACTGTTTTTCATTTTTTTTAACGATATTACTTAAGGTTACAAAAAAGGTTTACTTAATATAAATAATCCATTTTTCGCTAAAAAGTACATACTTATTGGAATCCCTGTATTTATTAATCAGCTCGCGATAATATTGGTTTTGTAATAATTCTGCAAAATTCAAAGTAAATAATGTAGATTTTTATTGGTAAATCACCCTTTTCATCACCCTACGCCTATAAGTATTGTGATGTTGTAGCTAAGAACCAAGTTCCCATCTACTTCTTTATGGGAATTCATTATATTCGATTTAGCTATTAGGGCACGGAAGCGCAACAAACAAACTCACTTTCGCATCCATAATATTATATTATACTTACTAGTGATCCACCAGGGCATTGTAAGGGCGAAATTTATTTATCGGGATACAATATAGCCTATGTCACTCGGACAAAATGTATTTAAATAAAGAAAAATGTTATAATAAATAATGTAGCTACCTTATGATGAATTAATATTTGAAACCGGTTCAGTAGTTTCACAGATTATTTGTTACAAACATACAAATCTTGCCTCTTTATAATATTAGTATAGATATTTAGCATAAGATAAGTATTTAATAGATGAAAAAGATTTAAAAATAAAGTAAGTAATAGGTTTATTTGATTATATTTGTAAAAGTTGCTTAGCATTTGTGCTTAACAGTGATACGTTATTCGGTATTTTAATAACAAAAAAAAAATTAGAAAAATAATTGCCATGATAGCACTACTGGGAGTACTCTTCATTCGAGCTTTATACTACCAATAAAAAAGGGTCGAACACAAAGTCTTTGACCTGTTAAATGTGAACGCTTTAAAAGAAAACTACAAAGAGAACTATAAATTGATAATAAATGAGATTGCTACGGTGCTCTACCTAACGTTATGAAAATTTTATTATGCGCCTTTAGTTTAATCAAATATTATAAACTTTGCTTTGGTGATTGCATAATTATTTAATTTAGTGATCTAAGGCAGTTGCCACCATTGCCCGAAACAACAGACGGGAATTACTTTTTTCTTCAACCTGCGACATAAACGTCATTGATTGGTATTGTATATAGGGTGATTAAAAACATTTGAAGTTAACTTCTGGCATCTACATATTGGGTTTCTGTGAATTATGTAGGTATATCAAATTATGAGACTAGGGACTGACACTGAATTTGTGTATATCACAATCTTAGACGTCCGGCATTGACATGACAATGCAGCCACTGCCAATTTTAAATAGTCGACGAATACAAGTAAATGAATTTTATATTTACTGCTAAACTATTAAAAAAGACATAAACAAAAGATGACTTTTTGAGTAAGTGCTAGTTTACTATAAAAGGACAATGTTAAAATTGGCCTAAGAACCAACACCAATTTGGCATTTATGATAATTCTTAATATATTTTTTGGGATAATTATCAGTATTTAGATTGTGACGGACACTTCCAGTTAAGTAAGCTAAATTAAAGAGTTAAAAAATAATCTGAGACAATAAATACCATTTTAAGTGTATAATCTATGACAGCGCTGCAAACAAAACACTCTTTCTTTCTTATGCCGGCACTTCACTTGCTATTCGTATTTGCTATTTTAAAACATGACATCAGTCTGTCCTTTTCATTCCTTATTAAGCATGACAAGGACAAACTGTTGTCAAGCAAAGAGCCGGCATAAAACTCGATACTCTGTGGTTGTGGTGCAAGCAGGCAGTTTGCATTCGTAGTAATCTGTGGCATTTGTGCATTCCAAAGAGTAATATAATATACAGGAAAGTGCATTCTCGTTTCGGATTACCTGTTTACCTGTTGTTTGTGTGTGTTTATTTGCGATTGTTTTTCCTTTAATTTAACTATTTCGGCCATCGATGTTACCAAAGAGCTTTTTACCAAGTGCTAGTGAACTTGTGTCACAACATCCTGAGAGGATCATACTGCCAAATTATTCAAGAACACCTGATACACATTCACGCTGCATATTTACACAATATACATGTGATATACAAATAAATACCATATACAATATGATACAATTATGTGAAAAATAGTCAATAAATAAGAAGCAAGACTACAGTTTTTATTTTATTCATGATTCCTACCTATCCAAGGTTTTCCTAATAGTTATTCTTTAAAATCGCACCGAATAAAATGATGAGTGATTGATGAAATGAAATGATTAGTTCTAATATTAATTCACTTCATACTAAGTTCATAGGTTAACCTATGTTTCATTGAATATTAAACATAACCTCAAAAAACATTTAGTTTTCCTAATAATTTAAGTTCTCAGAAGTGTCCGTCAATAATCTTTGTTTTTACAGTCATTTACTTACGATTTCGAACCTAGAAAACAATATTTCATGATTGTTGGTTCTTAGGCTAACTATGTATGGACGCTGAACAATGTCCTTTACATACATTAGAGATATTTATGTAACGACTTGATTTAACTTCACACATTTTTGCGAAAATTGAGGCCCATCTGTAGCCTTGACCCCGCTGGTAAAGTCTCTATATGTCTTAATAAATCAATCTTTTAGACCGACGCAAGGTACTTAATAATTTCCGCGATATTAATTCCCTTACTGAAGTAACAAGACTACGGTATATACCGTCTTAAAATACTAACTAAAAAGTGTGAAATAAAAAAGGTAAATTTAAAAAATCAAAAAACCCAACTGCTTAATTATACTTCAAATAAAAACTGAAAAGAAAAACTGAATTAGATATTCAAGAATAAATAATATTTTTCAACAGTGGGTCCCGACTGTTAAAGTAGCTTTGTTCCTTATTAACAGAATTATAGACTACTGGACTTGTTTTTTTCTTTTCAGTTTTTATTTGAAGTATAATTAAGCAGTCGGGTTTTTTGATTTTTTAATTTTTTTATTAAAGTATCCAAAATTTTAATATAAATGTAAAAGTTGATTTGTCCGTCTCTCGTCGTTCAATATTATTCATATACATATGTATACACTACACAACATGTATACATACAAAAAAATCTTAAATAAAAGTACAAGTAATAATAATCATCAATCAACATAATTAAAAACAAATAACTGATAATAATTGTTAAATAAAAGAAACTTAAAAACTATACTATATAAAAACTTTTTAGCCTAGGGATTGATCGAACCGTAATGTTTATTCGCTGCAATATCTCTGATTTACATTAAATAAACAAAAGTTTTTTACAAAATTTTACTAAATTCATATTCACTCATGTAATAATTTCACTGCTCAAGCTTGGGGCTTTTCCCCCATTAGGCGCGTTATTATCGGTCGATAATATCGAATGCGTTTTTGAAATACATATTTGTTTTAGTACATTATGTATGAGAAGGGCTACGAAGTTATGCCTTGATCATACGTACCGAATAAACGGACGAGACAGTAATGTCACGGTAAATAGATAATATTACCGTGGTAATGTGTTTCTCGGCCGAGACAGTGATGGAAGTTAAAAACTCATTTAAGAGCGCTCGGCCGATCACTCGGCGCTTCGTTAATACGTACTAAGTACTCGGCCGAGAGCACTATCTCGTTCGTTTGCTCGGTACGTGTGATCAAGGCATTACACACTGCTGCGATAAAAACGAAGCAAAAAAAGTATGACGAAATATCGCAATAACGCATCCGATTTTATATTATCGGCCAATAATAGCGCACCTATGGGCGGGTGGTATTTACAATTGAGCCACTAGATATTTCAAATATAATATCATATGACGTTTCAAATAAAAATCTAGCAATGCCGTGCAGTCTATATCTACGCACTTATTACACAATAACAACAAAATGGTAAAATGGTTCACACTCAATGACCTTACGGTACCAGTTAGAATTGTTCTACGGGTGTTTACCTTACTACAGGTTATTAACAAGAAAACTCGTTTCTTTATCTAATCTCAATATATGACATCTAAGTTTTTTTAGGTCATTACGTACTACAAGAGTGTGAGTTTAGATTTCTCAATGATTTTATCGTCATTATGATCTCAAACCACAAATACTGTAACATAAAGTTTTTATCTTCTAATCAACAACACTGAAAAAATTATAGATCAGTTAACGTACCGTAATTTAACTTAACGACCGCTGCGGTTAAGTCAATTAGTGTCCAAGATATGGTGAAAAAAATGTTTTTGGGCTCGCTCGCGGTTCCGGAAGAAATAATTTTAATTCGAACACTCGCCTCATTCTATCATTCATTGCTATTGAAACTCAATACAGGTTGTCAATACATATAAGAATACTTGCTTTACGCATCACGTACCGCTGTGCTGGGATTTTTATTCGGGTGGAATAGAGATGGCCTAATATTATGTTAAAATAATATCGATAATTTAAATCTCTTCAAATGTTTTTGTTACATACAGGACATTGAAAATTCATTGAATGTATTATATTTTTAAATATAAAAGAAATCAAATTAACTCAAACGTACAATACAGTCTTACTATACGTATGAATCATATTTATTTCATTAAATAACTGAATCATTGGGTATTATTTTCTTTTACTCGGCTTGTTGAAGTATCAAATGTGCACAATGCCGAGATAATAAAATGTATAACAATAATAATAAAATTGACAACACTTGACATTTTAAAAATTATGGTACACTAGCTACACTATGAAATGTAATTAAAAACATGCTTTACCAACAGAAATTAAAAAAAATTTATAAATTATGATACCTATTTTGGGTTTCATAAATAAAAAATATATAATCTTAACAAAAAAACAATGAACAGATTTTTCTTAAACCATCGATCATCGATTAGTTTGAATTGTTAACATCACTAACATTCCTAAATTGAAACTTATATTTTGATCATCTTTTCACACGGTAGCAATTTCGACGCACTTCTTTTTATTATTCCATCCGACTTGGTTAGAAATTGATTGGATTGTTTTACGTTACTTACTAATAAAATTTAATTACATACAAATTAATCACATACAAAAACTAACTTTTAATTAGATGAGACACATTCAAAATGACTTTTCGAGTTATACCAAACTTATTGGCGGCACATGAATAAAACCATTAAAATGTCCATGGAAGGAATAAATATTCGAGTTTCATCTGAAATTGATCTGTAGCTAAACTAATTAAGGTTCTTACGTTTATTTGGTCGTGTAACCCAACACTGCGAAGACTATTAATTTAATTAAATAAGATCCATTAGTTTACTTATTTAATAAGCGGTGGGGCGGGTGAGAAATCCTCATGGATACCCTACAGCCGGCTGCAAGGTTTTGTTAGACTCTTACCCCCTTTTTAATAAACAAGGAATAAGCTTAGACTAGTTACGCCTTCTTTTGTTCATGTCACTCAAATGCTATTTGTCATTCAATAGACAGAAACAAAACATGGAGTAACTAATCCAAGCGTAGTCTTCGTTTATTAATAAGGGCGTTACTGACTAAAAAACACCCATGAACTACGGGTGTTTTTTAGTTCCGGCTAGGGTTGCAACGATATATCGGAATATCGATAATATCGATAATATCGAGACCAAAACATCGATATTTATATCGATATTTAAAATTCACTGATATCGATATTATCGATATCGGATATTCCAAAATATCGATATTTCGTAGACTAAATTTAAACACAATAATATCAATTAATTTACCTGCTATGACTATCTAAATTGAATAATATCGAAATAACTATTGCTTTGAAATCGCAAGAGCTTATAGATGTATTAAAAAAAACTTGAACCCCAAGAAATATACTAAACTGGTGTGGATGCTGGCATGATTCTCTCAACCTAAAATTAAATTTGACAACCGTGTATCCTTGTCATTCTCTATACAGAATGACAAGGAGAGACTGATGTAAAATTTAGTTTTAAGTTTAGATAATCATGCCATAATCGTATACCTAATGGTAACTCATGCACTTAAATAAAATCCTTGCCTCTCTTTCTAGATAATTGTCAACTACTGATTAATTGAAATTAAATATCATTGTAATATAACACAAAATAAAATTAAGAATCTTATACAAATCGTAAATTTTTAAGCTCGCCAAGTCAAGAAAGTAAGATAGGTATAGTAATTTTTGAAGCTTTGGGCTTACCCTATTCTGAAGCCATGGGCACGCCCCTGATGTGTGGGAGACTAAGCAATTTGCGTATTTGATGTGAAACGAAACGAATGTAGTGAAAACTTAGTGAAGGCAATCGCAAATATCGTCCCACATATGCGGGTTGGCGCATTCGTGCTAACAAATGTGAGTGATCTGATCAGGATAATAATTTTAATTTTTTGGTTTCCTGTCGTGGCTGAAACACAAACAGTGCGAGCCAAAAAAAAAATCCTGCTTGGCGCGATTTCATCAAGCGTGTTTAAAGAAAAAGCTGGCTCAATGCATTTTGCGAGACACTCGCCAACAAACATATGAATGTGTCACACTCAGCCCGTATTCTAATGTCAATAAAAAAAAAGAAAAAAATATCGATATATTATCGATAATATCGAGTTAAAATGGTCGATATATCGGATATCGATATTTTCCTGACTTCGATATAAATATCGATATAATATCGATATTTCAAAAGACTTTGCATCCCTAGTTCCGGCTTATGGCCGGAAGGGCTTTACAAGCTTCTTCTGAAGCGATCATCCCCTGATGAGGGGGGTGATGCAGAATGAATGAACCCTTGAATATTATATCTGGTCGCCAGTGCCGTCTTTGACCTATTGGAGGCCCTGGGCATATTAGGATAATGGGGCCCCTATGAATTCCGTTTTGGTGATTTAACAGAAACTAGGGACTTTGTATTTGATCTGAGGGGGGACCCTATCGATCGCGGGGCCCTGGGCACTTGCCCAAAGTGCCCACTGGGAAAGACGAGTCTGCTGGTCGCAGTGGGGCCGAGCGGGCCGCAGCGCAACGCAAAATGATCACTTTGACAGCCCGGGTCGCAACATATGACGGATTTTGGGTCCAGTATACGTACTGCCAGACTTCCGTGCAATTGTATGCGCACATTATATCTGGTCGCAGTGGGTTGGAGCGGACTGCAGCGCAACGCAAAATGATTACTTTAAGGGGCTCGGGTCGCAACATATTATGACAGATTTTGGGTCCAGTGTATGTACTGCCAGACTTCCGTGCAACTGTATGCGCACCTTATATCTGGTCGCAGTAGGGCGGAGCGGACCGCAGCGCAACGCAAAAGATTACTTTGACGACTCGGGTCGCAACATATGACGGATTTTGGGTCCAGTGTCCGTACTGCCAGACTTCCGTGCAACTCTATGCACTTCAATCCGATTGTTATAGCACACTGTGTCGGGGTGCAGCGGGGCGGGGCGGCCCGCATGACACGCAACCGAAATCCCCGGCGGAATATGCGCCCCTTTGCACCCTGGCATAGTATGTGTGAGATAGTTCATATAAAATACATATGAGTGATTTGAGCTGATTTTTGCGCTGTAACCCAACCAGCTGCGGCCCGACATAATGCTAAGAATCGTGTCCTTAATAGTTTCGCTTTATCTGAGTTTCCGTTCCTTCCGCAGCTTAGCTCTGATATCATTAGTAATAGCAAGCTTTAATTTGGTATGGCTATACATAAGTCACGCCAAAAAAGTCATAAAATTATATCTAGAGATATATTTTTTAAGGGTACCTCCCGTACAGGTTAAGTGTGTCTTATTAATTACTAGCAAACCCGGCGAACTCCGTTTCACCACCAGATGGCTTCGTTTTATGTAACATTTCGTTTGGTGATTAAAAGAAGTTTTTTTTTTTATTTTTCCTGAATTTTCTTTGCTATAAACCTCACGGAGCCCGAGATATTTCCAACGAATGCAAAACCGTGGAAATCGGTCCGTGCGTTCTGGAGTTATAGCGTCAGGAAGGAAAACTCGACTTATTTTTATATAGTAGATAACATCCATACAATTAAACAAGAAAGATAGAAAAGAAAAGTAAAAACAATTTGTGCGTTTGTTATTATTGACTGAAAATATATATTTCTATTTGTTGTACAGGTTACTTGATATCTTGCGCGAGCAGCAGCGTGAGCATGGCGGCCTCAGTGGGCCCGCCCATCATCATACCGTTCATGCTTTTCGGTGGCTTCTTCCTCAACTCAGGGTAAGTGCACATCGACTTTTTTATAAAGCGTTAGCCGGAATACCTTTTTTATGGAAAAGGCGCACCAAATTGCCCCCACACTAATTGATGTTCAGTAAATGTAGAAACCGTCGCAAAGATAGACGATGCCGATCTGAATCATTTAAGAACGATTATTCTTGCTGTTTTGTCAGGTCAAGTCTTAGCCAGAGAAACACCTCTTAATTACGAAAAAAAAGTCTCAATGATTCACCGCTATACAGGTGGCTCTTTGCTGATTAATTGTTTTTTTCATTGAATATTTTTTTCAAATATACGATTAGGTAATATAAATTAATGTTTGTAATTTGTTATCATCTTTTTATTACCCACTGTCACAACATCTGTGAAAGTTTTAATGTTTATAGAACTAAATAAAACTAGTTTAAACGGGATAATGCACGAAACTTTATTTATTTATTGACGTTTCGTAGCCTTTCCAGGCTTCGTCGTCAGAATAAAACTTTTGTTTTTTTAAAAACGATTAATGAGTGATGTGCGTGAAAACCTAAGAAACAAATATGTTTATAGAACTGTTAAGACATTTTAAAGTTTTTTGAAGATTTTACCTCTCGTCTGTGAGGCATGCCTCGTGAATCAATATGTCCTCTGTGTCATGATGGTTGGATTCAGCCATCTCACAGTCAAAGAATTATCTTGTCCTTTGCAGATCTGTACCGCCTTACCTCAGCTGGATATCTTACCTGTCCTGGTTCCGGTACGGCAACGAGGCGCTACTGGTGAATCAATGGTCGGGCGTGGAGACCATCGCCTGCACCAGGGAGAACTTCACCTGTCCCGCCTCGGGGCAAGTGGTGCTGGAGACGCTCAGCTTCTCAGAGGTAGGATTCTGGAATTATAACTGCATACTTCACTAGGTGACCTGTTTCTGGTTCGGTAACGAGACGTTGCTGGTGAACCAGAGGTCGGACGAGGAGACCAATGCCTGCACTATTCACCAGCCCCACCTCGGGGCAAGTGGTACTCGAGACGCTCAGCTTCTCAGATGTATGATTCTGGAATTATAACAACATACTTCACTTGGTGACCTGGTTTCGGTTCGGTACTACTGGTTGGTTCTGGTTCTGGGGAACCAGTAGTCGGGCGTGGAGACCAAAATGCCTGCACTATTCACCTGCCCCACCTCAGGGCAAGTAATTCTCGAGACGCTCAGCTTCTTAACACGGTAGGTTTATTATCACGATGATGGACGTTTAATGTACAGTGCGTGCGAGATCTGAGTGCAGTTGGGGTGTGTGATTGAGGGCCGACACCTTGCACGCCTGCAGTGTATTAACTCGAGCTGTGTTTTCGAAAAATAGCGTATTCTTCAGAGGTGCATTCAGATCGCGCGCGTACTGTAGTGTAGTGTAGCTTATACGTATATCATCGCGATAGTTAATGGCATTTCCCGTTAGTATGGCCCTAGCATGCGGCAGGGTATTTTCTAGTGGATGAAAACAAATTCGTGAGAGTGAAACTAGTAACGGTTGCAGATATTAATTTGAAGGTCACTCATCGGATGATGTGCTTATTTTACAAATTTATTCACTTAATATTTGGTATTACGTTATGCAGTGCAGGATAGGGCAAAATATTTTAATTACTTACAGAGAATTTTCATAGTTTTATGTTTCGGACACCACTCAAAAACTGTAAATACATATTAAGTTTAGAGCGTATACAATATTATTATCATACTAATCAAAAGGTCAAACGACTTTCATAAAATTAAATTAAATTCATACTGAGTTTAATGTGTAATTATTTTAGGCAATACCAGTTTCATATTTTATAAAAAATATATTTATTTTTTCAACAGGATGACTTCAATATGGACGTGATAAACATGGTGTTGCTTTTCATCGGATTCAGACTATTGGCGTACATAGCACTGTTGATGCGAGCACGTCGAGCTAAATGATTCTACATATAGAAAAAATATATTATAGCCAATTAAACATATAATTTCCCACAGGGTTGCCAAAGTACAAAAACAAAGTGACATTTTGTAAAAAATAAAGCATGTTTGTTCATTAAAAAAAAGATTTTTAAAGTGAAAAAGTTTAAGATAGTTTTTTTAGTATTCATAACAAGTCTTCACTTACAATCTTTAAGAACCAATGAGCTATAGATATTTTTAAACGGATTTCTATCGGTTTTCTGTCCTAAGAAAATCCTTCGTTATAATCTAAATGTATTTTTTTATTCCAATGTAAGTATAAAGTTCGGGTAGGTAGCTAATTGAAGTAAAATACTTATGTTATATGAACCAATATTTCTCTGCTGATAAATTAACATCTACAATTTAAATCGACCTACAGGGTTTATTTAAGTAAGAAACTAAGTTTTTTTTGTTATTTGTGAGAATTTTTACTAGTTGATGATTGTATCACATCTATACCATACTCAGTAGTTCCTTTATAAATCGAACTTTTTAATGCGCTTTATTTATAACAATATAAACACTGTTACAATAAAAAAAAACTGAATAATTGCACTGCGGGACTTGCGACTTCGGAATGCGACTTATTTTCTGAAATCAAACCTAAACTCAACTACCTGATAAAATATCCCAATAATTTCTAATTCGTTTTAATTATATTTGACCCAAAACAGGTTTTTTTTTTTAGTTTTTTTTAATTATTATAGCCAAATATTTTTTTATATCATGTTAGTCCATTATTTGCCTACTTAACAATAGTTCATATTTGCTCTACTGTACCCCTAGCAAGAACCATTATCGAATTCGAATAGTTTGCAAACCGAAATGTCAATGTCAAATTTTGTATGGAAACTTGAACAGCAGCGGCACAAAGTACATAACGAGAACTAAAAATCAGTACACATTTGACAATGACATTTCAGACTCGCAAACAATACGAATTCGATATTGGTTCGTGCTAAGGGTACTGCATACTTACATTTGTTTTTGTATGTAGTCATTATACTTACTTTATTTTGAGTTGACGTTTTAAACATTTTATTTTTATGTTACTATAAGATTATGAAATGACTGTTATGTGTAATACATATGATTTATAAATATAGTACAAAATAAAAGTGCCTATCATGTGTTCTAATATTTTTTTATTCCCCTGTTGATCCCTTCCTATACATTTTTTTTTAAATACACACCAATTACCCTAGCCCCAAAGTAAGCACTGTAAGGCTTGTGTTAAGGGATACTAGGGTAACGGATAGAATACATATACTGTACATATATATGTGTATTTATATAGAAATACATATTAAACATCCATGACTGGAGTACAAGTGCTCATATTCATCACACAAACATCTGTCCCCACAGGGATTCGAACCCAGGACCTCTGGAGTCGGCGACACCATGAAACCCGGCGTACAAACCACTCGGCTACGGAGGTCGTCAAAATCATTTATCGTTATTTTGTCCTACTTATGCTATGCTCATGTCATGAATGGTTTTCATTGGAACTTGACGAAAGTAGAAAAAAGGATTTTAAACGTCCTTCAAAGGAAAGTGTTGATAGCCTATGAATTTCTCCACTACTGGGGCACAAGCCTCCCCAATGAACGGTACAGACAGAACGGGCCAAAACCATAGAGCAACACAGAAAGGAGTAGCCATAGCGATATATACCTAATACTATTCAAATCAAACTGTAATTTATTGCGTGGGGAATATGCACACAAACACAGTTAAACTTACACCCATAAAATTGTATGCACGGACCACACATGTGGATACTTCTTTTCTTTAATAACCTTACATTAGGCGGTACATAACTAATATATAAATATATTGTATAATAAATATATATATATACCTACATATATTTAAACGTGTGTGTTGTGCGTGAAAACCTAAGAAACAAAAAAAATATGTTTAAGCAACTACTATGTAGGAATCTTTGATTTATACGCCTAGTAGACCAGGGTCGATAATTTTTGAGACCAAAAAAAATTATAGTAGGATGAAACCCATTAGAAAAGGTAGAGAATATAACAAAAATGAAAGGAAAAATAATTTACGGGCGATCTGAGGTCGGGAAGGGGGAGGGGGTGAGATTTTAAGGGTACAAAATGGTTAATCTCGATTTCCGGTAAAACTGCAAAGTCCTATGAAAAAAAGTTAAATGGCAAAGTTGTAGGTAATAAAAAGATCTACAACTTTTGTATCAACACTTTTTTCACATAACCTCAAAATTTATGTGATAAATGCGAATAACCGAGTTTTTGGTTTTTGATTTTTATTTTTTGCAAAAAAAATATTTTTTCTCGAAATTTGGTGAAAACTTACCTTTGTATGTCCCAAACATACAGTATTTTTTTTGATTTAAAATATTCATTTTTTCACCTTATTTTGACTTAATATCGAAAAAGCACCCTTATTTTCAATCGAAAATTGTCACGTCAAAATATCTGCTTTTTTAAAAAAGTTGGGGTGTTTTTTGTTTGTTGAAATCTCTACTTTCTGATGGTATAAAAAAAAATACACTACTATGGTAAATGTTCTCAGAAACTGCAAATTAATAATGAAAAAAACTCCAATCCTGAGAACATTTATCATAGTAGTGTATATTTTTTTTATACCATCAGAAAGTAGAGATTTCAACAAACAAAAAACACCCCAACTTTTATAAAAAAGCAGATATTTTGACGTGAGAATTTTCGATTGAAAATTAGGGTGCTTTTTGGATATTAAGTCAAAATAAGGTGAAAAAATGAATATTTTAAATCAAAAAAATTACTGTATGTTTGGAACATACAAAGGTAAGTTTTCATCAAATTTCGTGAAAAAATATTTTTTTTTGCAAAAAATAAAAATCAAAAACCAAAAACTCGGTTATTCACATTTTTCACATAAATTTTGAGGTTATGTAAAAAAAGTGTCAATACAAAAGTTGTAGATCTTTTTATTTCCTATAACTTTGCCATTTAACTTTTTTTCATAGGACTTGCAGTTTTACCGGAAATCGAGATTAACCATTTTTTACCCTTAAAAACTCACCCCCTCCCCCTTCCCGACCTCAGATCGCCCGTAATTTATTTTTCCTTTCATTTTTGTTATATTCTCTACCTTTTCTAATGGGTTTCATCCTACTATAATTTTTTTTCACTTTTACCCATTTTTAAAATCACGCTCTTAGTTTTTTTTTTCTGTGAATGTTATAATTACGTTATATTATATAATAGTTTAAAAGTGTATATAATAATTACCTTAGGACTCATTTGAGTATGATTGCGTGTGTGTGTGTATCTCTCTCTGTATGTGTGCATGAGTTTGCGTGAATGTGTTGAGTGAACCCTGTATTCTATTAATAACGCATACTTTTGATAACCAAAGCACTACGCGTTCGCTTCGAATTGGCTGCTTCCACCCTCCCAGCTTCAGAATACCGCGCCTTAGACAGTCCCTATTAGTCAACCTTATTGGACGATGGTACCAGTTGATGTGCCTGTGATTGGCCATCGACGGCCAACTCGAAGCAAACGAGTAGTCTTTAACGCCACTAATGTGATTCAACTTTTCTTTACTTTGTTTTTGACCTCCCCATTTTTCTTGTATACCTACTTTTATCTTTGCTATCCTTCTATGCTTCCTCTTTCAGACTTCTGCCCGTGCCCCTGGCTGTATCAAATAGCAGCCTCGAGCACGGACAGTATATTATTAAACATGTTGAAATTTGATTTAAAATAACATAATTAAAAAGACATATTGTAAATAATCGAATAAAAAAATTATGAAAAAAAAAAAATTATCGACCCTGGTCTATAGATACAGCAATCCAAATAAATCACGCAAAGAAAACGGTTCATTTTTCGCGAAAAGTGTGCGTGACTCTAATTTCAGATTGTTAAGGCCGTATACAGAAAGAAAGCCGAAAGCCAATCAGCGCTTATCGGCGCCTTTCGGCGCCGATCCTTACTACGTAAAGGTAGCCGATTAAAGCAGAGCAAGCAAAACATCGGACTCATCGGACGATGATTTGGTTTTGTTAGAAAATGTGTATTTAAAAATGCGAAAAAAAATATACATCCTATAAATAGAGAAAGGAAACGTTTCGGAGAATACCATCATTTATTTGTAACAAAATTGAAATTTGATGATCAAAGATTTTATACATATACAAGAATGACTCAAGAAACATTTTATTACATTTTGGATCTAGTGAAAAACCGTTTGATGAAAAATTGGTGCAATTGGCATAAAAAACCAATCCTTCCAGAAGAAAGACTTGTTGTCACCATTCGGTAAATACGAAACAAATAATTTTAGCGCTTAGTTAATAAAAGAGTAATTAGATTTATAAAAAGATTATTACTTAAATTGATTTAATCTAAGGATAATAATTCAAATACAAATTATTTATTATTCGGACAACATAGATTATAATGACCAGCGCGTGTCGGCATTTGTCGGCACTTATCAGCGCTGATCGGCGCTGAACGGCTTTCAGCTTTCTTTCTGTATGTGGCCTTATTAGTAACAAATACGTCGGTCATTCTCAGCTGACATGACTTTTGAGCGTCCATGCAAACATAATAATTTCCATTAGTTGCCCAGTAACCAGAATCACACTCTCTACCTTAAATAATTACAAAATAAGCTATGATTTTACATTACTGTCTATATATTTTGAAAGAATTGTGTGGATTCTAGCATGGTTTTCTAGACCTGAACTTAGGTGTAGCCTTGTCATTCTCTATACAGACTGAAAAGGGGGGACTGGTGTTGGGTTTGGAGAGTAGTGCCAGAATCGATACCAGTGTTTAGGTAATCACATTCATGTGTCCTACCGTTGTGATTATAGTTTGTTATAAAAATGTACACTGCTACTTATTTTTTTTTACTATTTTTGTAACATAGTATCCATATGTGGTTATGAATAGTCATGCTACGTAAAAAAATATTCTGTTTGATAACCGCAAGCGTTCAGCAAATTGATTAAGCACCTAAACAACGCCCCAAACGAAATCTGACTCCGGAAAAGTGATAATCACTGTTTGGTGGTCTAGCGCCATTGTCATTCATCACAGCTACTTACTATACGGGATGAGAATTACTACAGATGTGTACTGTGAAGAAGTGAACACAATGATAGAGAAGCTCGTACATCTCCAACCTGCTTTGGTGAATCATTCGGCTCCGCTGCTTCTGCACGACAACTCGCAACCTCATAGTACAGATTTCTGCTTTTCCAGAATTTGGATAACTTCTTAGCGGGGAAAAAATTCAATAACCGAGAGGCAGTTCAAAATGCCTTTGATGAATGCCTCCCGTCAAGCAGACTTTTTCAAAAAGGGCGTCAATAAGCTACCACTACGTTAAATGCATTGATTGCATGGGTAATTACTTTGATTAATAAAAATAAAAAATATAGAAAATAAAGGGCGTTAACTTATTTCATGAAAAACGGCAATTTCATAGGTAAAGACCAAAGTAATACTAAAGCAGTCAATGTGTGCGTGTGGAGAGACAAGCATAGCTACCATAATTAAATGTTGTTGATATTTTTTGTGCCGTTTCCGTGCAGTTAGTACGGTCGTTCTCGCACTAGATTTATGATGTACCAGTTTGATTAGAATAAAAGGGTGCTTTTGAACGCCAATTACGTTTAACATCAAACATTAGGAAGAGTCATTTCCTGGATTCAACAAACAAAAACTGGCCAACTGTGTGTCGGACTTTACACATTTAGGGTACTGTACATTTTTTTTTTAATTTTTACAGAAATAATCTCATTCAATGGTATGTATATAAAATGAGTATGAAAAATATAGTTCTACCCCATCGAGTGAGGTATCGTTGTTTAGAGCTAGTTGAGTATATATATATATATACATATATATTGAAATAAACTGTATTTTTTGTTTTAAAAATATTAGAAATCCTATGAATTAGACTTTCCTCGGTCACATTTTCTTTAAAAAATTACAAAATAAAAAATATGTCATACCCAGCGCGGCCGTCAGGAATGGTGCCCTATAGGCTGGCACCATATTGCCACGTTGAATGGCACGGCTGATCCTTTGACTAAAATAGCTTCCAGCCTTTTGATCACCAGTCACCTCGGTGAGTCTCTTTGACTCAACCA